CCCGGCCGGGGGAGGAGCTGACCCGCAAGCCCCAGCCAGTGTTGCACATCCGCAAGCAGCAGCTGGTGAACGGGTACCGGCGCTTTGACCCCACACGTGGCATGGAGTACACGCTGGACCTCCAGGTAGAAGTGGTCACTCAGAAGGGGCACAGCCGCTCCGTCACCAAGCGTGTGCACCTGGTGCGCCCGCTCAGCGAGGTGGAGATCATCCCCATGCCTTATGTGACAGAGGCCAGCCGGATCAATGTCATCCTTCCACTCACTGCCCATGACCGAGACCATGCCGCCCGCTTTTTGGAAGCATATGCAGCATCTGCCTTCGAGAACAGTGAGAATGCGGTGCTCACCTTCCTCTTCATCTACGATCCCTTTGAGGCGCAGCAGGTGACCCAGAACGACATCTTTGCCCCAGTGAAGGCCCAGATCACCGAGTATGAGCGCAAGTACGCAGAGGTGAAGATCCCGTGGATCAGTGTTAAGACAGATGCACCGTCCCAAATCAAGGTCATGGACATCATCTCCAAGAAGCACCCTGTGGACACGCTTTTCTTTGTGGCAGGCGGGGGGCCGGAGGTTCCTGACCCGCTGCCGGATGAACCCCATCAACAACTGGCAAGTCTTCTTCCCCATCCACTTTCAGGGCTACAACCCTGCCATCGCTTACCACAACCAGGTGCCACCCGCCACACTGGACCTGCTGCGAGACGCAGGGCGCTTTGACCGTGATGTCTTCCATGAGGCCTGCTTCTACAATGCTGACTACATGGCAGCGCGCACCCGCATGGCAGGCGATGTGCAGGAGAATGAAGACATATTGGAGACCCTGGACATCTACGATATGTTCATCAAGTACTCGAACCTGCACGTCTTCCGGGCCGTGGAGCCTGCTCTGCTGCAGCGCTACCGGCACCAGGCCTGCAACCCCCGGCTCAGTGAGGAGATCTACCACCGCTGTGTGCAGAGCAGCTTGGAGGGTGTAGGGTCTCGTTCCCAGTTGGCCATGGTGCTTTTTGAGCAGGAGCAGGGGAACAGCACCTGAGCCCAGGGCTTGGAGTCCCCCTCCCCCCCCCCCTGCCTGCCCCACCTGCTCTGCTGCCGAGATCTGTCCTCCTCCCCTGGTGAGCGTGGCATGGCTGCAGTGATCACCGCTAGCTGGTGCCCGAGCCTGTGACTCCCTGACACTGGTGCTACCCAGGTAGGGCTGGGATCTCCCAGCCTGGGCTGTCTGGGCTGTTCCAGAGCAGCTGTGGTCTTTGCAGACCCTCATGTGAGGTTGGGTTAGAGTTACTGAGCTGAGAGCCAGGACACCTCGGTTCTCATCCCAGAGCTGCTGACTACGGTCGCTCTTGCTCCTGGCTGCGTAGGCCGGTGGGAGGAGCAGAACTGTTCTGTCCCTTGCTTTGTCTTGTGAACTGCACCACCCTCGGCCCCCTCAGCCTGAGGGCACACAGAGCCTGAGGCCCCCGCTGTGGGGCTGTGACTGCGATGAATTACCAGCTGGGGCTTGGGGAGCTGCTACATTTTCCCCTGACCCCCTGATAGAGGGCTTCGTTTGCTCATTTGGTTCCCTGTGCTGGGCCCTCTTTGGACACTAGGACAGAAAGGACCAGAGCGTTGGCCTCTGTCATGTGGGGAGAGCTATATCCCTGCGCCTGCTGTAGGCTTGAGTAGGGGGAGGATAGGTTGGGACACGTCTGACCCCAAAAGAGCAATAAGGAGGTTGGTTTTAGTTAATGCCACTTGGTAATGAGACAGCAACCTGAATCTTCCAGGCTGCCTGGGGTGGGGGTTCCTGGCCCCAGGTCTGTGGGTGCAGGGAGTGCTGGAGGGGAGCCGGGGATCCTGCTGTAATCACTTACCATGAGCTGCTCCCCATGGGAACCATGACCCAGGCCGCTTCGGCCTTCGTAGTGTCAATAGGACGTAGGAGGTCGCAGCCTTCAGACAAGAGCCTCCTGCTGGAGGTTTGAGCCGTCCCTGCCACCAATTCAGAGGCCTAGAGCAGGGCTGCCCTGTGGGCACCTGTCCCGGGGGCTTTGCTGCCTTGCCACTGCAGAAGGGACCCTTGTGCGCACACACGCCTGGCCTTTGCGGCCCCTCCTCGTGGCTGGCAGCCGCAGCTCGGCTTCTTCGATGTGGGGCAGGGGTTACCATGCCTGGCCCTCACCCTGGCTGGCACTGCTGAGGCTGGTGGGCAGGACGGATGATTTGGCTGCGCGTCTCCTAAGGAGAAAACGACTGAGGAGCTGCTCTGTGCTCCTGGTTTGTATTTAATAGTGGGGAGAGGAAGGGGGGGTTGTGTTTACACTAATAAAATGAGATTAAATAATAAAAAGAGATGAACAAGTTGGTCTGACTGCTTCTTCCTTGGGGCCAGGCATGGTGGCGTGGGTTGTGGTTGAGCCTTTCTGCACGCTGGGGAGACTGGCGCAGAGGTGAGCGGCCGCTTAGGAGAGACTGCGTGAAGTGGGTGTGAACGGCATGATCTGTCCCCTTGCTGTGCTCTTCCCGTCTGGGATTAGCTTGGAAGGAAGAAAAAACTACATCCAGATATCATCTTGAATCGTTACTGGTGAATCCACCCTCTCTGAATTGGTTTCACTCCTTCTTGGTCTGTTTTACACCTCAGGCCTTCTCAACTTCTTGTGGTAACAAGTTCCCTAATTTAATGATGTACTGTGGGGCAACGTGCTTCGTCTTTGTCTTTAGCCTGCTCAGGATGTTCTCACCACATACAGCTGCTGTTTGTGTTACGAGAAATGGTGAGTAAACATGCCCTTCTTGTGCTGTTTGTTCCAGGCATGATTTTTATGGATCCTTGTGCTCAATCCCACGAGCTATTTGATCATCACTTTTTCCAAGCTGAAGAGCCCTCCTTTATTTAACCTCCCCACATATGGGAGCTGCTCCCTCTCGCTGTCTGCTCTCTCACCACTTCCCTGATGGCATGTTGGGATGTTGACGGCCTGCCAGACGTGGGTGTGCTTGCGAGGCTCTGCTTGTTAAAATGACAGTCAAAGGGCAGTTGCATTCGGCACTTGTTCGCAAAACTCCCATATCAAGGGAAAAATCCCCAAGAAAATTAACTAAGTCTGCTTGCGTGTAGTTAACGTGGCTAGGTTCAGCGAAACTCACGGAAACCTCCCCAGGACGTATGGCATATCTTCCCCTAAGAGAGGATATTTCTGCTCCAGTCTTTGTATTCGCAGTGTAGAAACGCATGTGTTCAAATATATGTTTGTTATATTTCAGAGAGCAATCGTTAGCTTGCTCTAAGCACTTCTATTTTTGATCTTCCCCAAACATGTCCTTAATTCACTTTAAATGTGAATCTGGGACAGGAGGGTGTAAGAAGGATGCAGGTGCATTGCAGATACATTCCTTTTCTGAAAAGCAGACCTCGGAGTCTGAATTGATTAGGTGTTAGAAGAGTATCCAAATGTTAATAAAGCAAACCAACTTCAAATAAAATTGGCTGCAAAAAAAAAGGTCCTAAATTGCCATTTAATTGTTGCAAGATGGTCTAGATATAGTTGCTCTTGTCTCTTCTTTGCTGTTTGCCAAGACTGAGTAAAGAGCTATTTGCATACTTAAAGCTTCAGACTATTAAAGGCAATGAACCATCCCCTGCCTGAACATACGTAAGAGCCAATGATAGTCCTTATGGTACTTCCCGCAAAGTTCATTGGTTCCTTTCAAAAATAAGCTGGCAGTGTTTGAAGTCACTTTGGCATTTGCCAGGTTATTTGCAGCATCAAAACATGCTGAATGGTGCAGCTGTGCTCTTGTGATGGCAGTGTGGCTGCTGTAGCGGCTTGATGTGGTGCAGCAGCCCAACCTCTTGCCCTCTGCTATGCCCTCGTGTGTGAGGAGATGCTGCTGTCAACCAAAGCAGCCCAGAAATGATGCTACAAAGAAAGCAGTGATGACCAGCAGTGGAAACAGCTCCATTCTGGGTCTGCTCTGAGTGCAGGTCACTTGGGACACATGCACAGCTCAAATGGCTGAGCTTTGCTTTCTGAAGTTCTGCTCCCAGCTGGAGCTGATGTACAAAAGTTCACCGCTTTGAGTCCTGCACCAGTAACTTCCGTTCTGAGCTCCAGCGCTGAGTCTCCAGCTGGATAGCCAAGCCTACTGCTGGATTTCGGGCCCTGTTTGTCTTGTGGCCTAGCCGTAAGCTTGCACCTCCAAATATAGGGGAAGGCTGCAAGAAGGATGCTCCTGCTGCTTTTAGAGGGAGTTTTTACAGTTGAAGGCTGCTGCCCAGCACCAGCTGCAGTTGCACCGAGTTGCCAGGAGCTGTCACACAGAAGTCTGCCCGACGAGCCTGTGCGCAGCGCCCCTGCAGCGCCTGCCCTGCCAGCGCTCCCCCCACCCTGCGAGACGCTGGAAAGCCTCTTTCAGCCCCTGCCTAGGGCCGAGAGCCATCCTGGCCGCTGCAAGTCCTGGCTCAGGCGGGTCTCCCTAGGGCGGCTCTGGCGTTCGCTTACTCTCTGCCTCCTTGCAAGCAGCCCTGTTTGTGCTGGGTGGCTGTGCTGCACTGTCCCGCAAGCCCCGCAGGGGACGTCTGTAGCCTTTGTGAGCAAAGTCAGCATTTTCCAAAAACTTTTTTTACGTATTTCTGTAGCTTACCTCATGTCCGCTTTGCTGCATCAGTGTTATTTCCCCTGACACAGCTGCTTTTCGCTGACAGAAAGGGAAGGGAATTACTCTGCAGGCCCTCAGCAGGAGGCTGGAGGTAGCTCGGGCCAGTCCGGGCACAAGCAGCCTGGGGCTCGAACTGCACAGCCAGCAGTTCTTCTTCTTCCGGGAGCCCCTCTCACGCTGAGCACAGAGAACCAGACGTCCCTGTCAGCTTGGGCCCGAACCTCGAGTGAGTTAATGCTGTGCAAATAAGAGGCCAGGCTCTTTCTGCAGGTCTGTGACGCGCCTCGAGGACACCACGGTGAGGGAGCCCTGCGCAGCGCTGGCTGGGGAGAGGGGCCACACCAGACCTTCCCCACCTCTCTGGACATGTTCCCAGAATAATTTCCAAAAACTTTCTGGGCCCCCCCGTATAACAGCAAGTCCTCTATAAAAGAATAGTCCTCAAAATTGCAGCAGGGCAACTTTCCGACCGGATGGGTGGCCAAAGGCAGGCACGGAGGGCTGGGAGGAGCGTGTGCCTGCGTGTTTCGGGTACCCACCACCGGAGGACTCGGGGAACGGGCTGGACGTGTGTCTGTTGGCAACGTCACAGGCAGGAGAGAGCTGAATGCCCTTGTCTCCCCTCCAGGCTCCGCGGCTGCAGGGTGAGCTGGA